ACCTTCTTGTTGGTAACGAACGACAGGTCAGCCTCAGACGGCTTTCCCGTGAACTGGACCACTAGTCTCAGCATCTGGGCCGTGTTGGACCCCATGAAGAGCGGCTTCCGCTGGAGCATCTCCGCCATGATGCAGCCCGCCGACCACACGTCGATGGCGGTGCCATAGTTCGCCTCCAGGAACACCTGCAACAAAATTGTCGTGGTGGAAGGTGCGTTATGTTCTTATTTATTTTTCGTCAAAACTGCTGTTGTTGCGGCGCGTAGTTCGCCCTATTCTCTTGCAATTTATTGTCGTTCTTTTTTCTTTTCTTTCCCCCCCCCAAGAAGTAAGCTTGTTACGAGACATGTCCTTCTCTCTCTTGTAAAAAACGGTAAAAAAAAAGGGAAAAAACGCGCACACCACACAGGCACCACCTCAATCTACCCTTGTATGTGGAAACGATTTCTTTGACGGGTGCTGTCACACGCCTCCACATCATCCGCAAGAAACTCCATCTCCCTGTGTTTCAACTTCAAATCCGAACATTCTCGGACCATTCCCACTGCGCGTTTGACTGAAACTGAAACTGTCCCCGTTATTCGCGTGTTGCAGCCCGGCAAGTCTATGAAAAAGACCTCTGCGCGTGCGCCAACTGCCTGCAGGAAGGAAGGTCTGTAATTGGGGCTGAAACTACTTTAGCCAAGCTGTTTCGCCTACATGGTGCAAAGACAAGACCGACGAGACAATGGTACAACTCAAGACGATAAATCCGAGTTTGTGCGAGGCCAAAAAAAGAAACACCTCTAGGCCAATCCAATCAGATTGCAGCAGCATGGACTCCGTTTCATGAGGCGAGAAACACCAAACACCTCTTGGCCAATCAGAACGCAGCAGCATGAAGAGATGAAACAGCAATGGCTCTCTCTCTCTCTCCCTCTTACCTCGGGGGCTCTCCACCATCGCGTCACCACGTACTCCGTCAACTTCACTTCCCCCCCGGAGTCCCCGTCCTCCACGTCAGGAGCAACTCCTGCCGCCGCCGCCGCCCCCGCCGCGCTACTACTGCCATCCCCGCCGCTTCCTCCTGGAGATGTTGTTTCCGACGCCGGTGCCTTGCCAAGGCTCCGTGCCAGTCCAAAGTCGCAAAGCTGTGACACAGCAGGGCGATAGACGCGTGGCGGGGAGCGTAGGTTTGGCGGTGCACGTGACGAGAGGCGGGGAGGGGTTCGAGTCCCGTAATTCTTCGTTTGGTTTCGGGAAGGGGGAAAGATAAGACACAGAAACTGCCAATTGTGTTCTCAAATGCGACCTGTGAGTGCGGTTGGGTTGTGGGAACACTCACGGGACTTATTCTTTGTTGATTGTCGATCTAGAACTGCACCCTTTTGGGATATATTTGTGCCGCTTCGGATCGGCATGCACATGTGCGAACGGTAAAACACAGGGGGGGGGGGGGGTATCCGAGGGGGAAACATGAACTCCCGGCACCCATGAACCTCAACAACATCAACGGCCTAAGAGAATATATTTAGATTGTCCATACCTTGAGGTCACAAGTGGTATTGACGAGCACGTTTGCTGGCTTGAGATCTCTGTGGATCACCCTCGCGGAGTGCATGTAGTGCAGGCCGCACAGGATCTGGTACAGGAAGAACTGAAGGTGCGCCTGCTTCAGGTTCTGTCCCGAGTAGATGATGTGGTGCAAGTCCTGAAAAATATACCGCCACGACAAGTTCGCGCGACAAATACGATTAAGAAAACAACTCCAAGTAAGCGATAAATTCGGCGAAAAATCCAGTGTGCTCCTGTCGACATGGTCGTAAGCAAAGCACAATTTAGGGATAGTTTTCGACCTGCCCGTGGGCAGGTGTGACAAGTGCTGCCCGCTGCAGCCGCCCTTTACTAGCAGAGAGAATAATCATCGAGAAGAATCCCATAAACCTACACGCCCAAGAGTTTATCTCAAGCGCACTCAACGTCATCTTACCGTGTCCATCCTGTCTAGCACCATGTAGACGTCCTTGAACTTCTCCACGCTGGGAGGAGGCATCATGTCCACGATGCGGATGATGTTGTCGTGGTCGAACTGTCTCAGTAGCCGGATCTCGCGGATCATGCGCTTGGCCACCAGCATGTCGTCGAACGCCGAAACCACCTGTGTGTATGTTGCGTGAAGCAGTCACCGACCGCGCTAATTGGCTGACCACAATGACAATACGCCAGTTGTCACGTGCTGCAAACAAAGGGAAACGCTCCGAACCAAAAGGCCGTACGTGTGTGTTCGTGTGCGTGTATTCGTGTGGTTCTTTCATTGCCATCGACCGCGCAAATTGGCTGACCACAATGAGAAGACGTCAGTATCAGTGCCGTTAATAACGGAAACCGCTTCTAAAGGCCATAGAAGTATGTACGTAATCGTGTGCGCGCCTGTGTGTGTTTCTCTAACTGTCATCGACCACTCTCATTGGCCGACGACAATGACAAGACTCACAATACCAGCATCGCCACCGCTAATAACGGAAAACGCTAACGCTTCTGAAGCCCATGTATGTGTGTGTCTCTACTACTAGCATCGGACCGAGCTGCTGTAACTGGCCGACCAATCCAAAGACGTCAGGCCTTGGCGGCGAAATAATTACGCAAACAACACCACTTTTCCAACCCGCAGGGTCTCTCGCAAGTGTGCTCCTGTGCGTGCGTAAGCCTCGCGAGCTAAAAAAAGCCGAGTGGTAAACCCAGCTTCACCCTTAGCTACACGACACACCACCACAGCAGCGCTCTTCGTGACCCAAAAACAGCTCAATACTCACACAGCAGTACTCGTAGAATCGGCGGAAACTTAGGCCCAACTGGATAACAACCGGGTTGATAATTTATCTGGTAATATTTGCCCTTGGTAAATACCGTCGAGCAAACCACTGCCGCCGTGGGTCTCGATTTCGCGTGAGACTTGGGTGAGCTACGACTACGTAACCGCTAAATTTACGGCAACGCCACAACTGGAGCAGCACTTGCAACGAGCACCCACCTTCTTGACGGCAACCCTGGTGTCCTTCTCCTTGTCCAGAGCCGAAACGACCACGCCATACCCACCGCTCCCGATCGTTTTGTTCTGCCAACACAGGACGGAGGGCGGGGAGGGCGGGGATGGCGGGGGGGGGGGGGGAGCCCAAGAAACCTTGGCCACGGGGGGGGAAATACACGTGGTATATTCTGAGTGTAAAACATCGTGTGAGACATCGTGAGGAAGGTTTTCAAGAAACGGACAAGTGGATACACAGGTTAGGGGACGGACACCCACTCTTGAGTACTTACAGATATCACCGCAGCATACCCTCCGCCGGATTAACGCACACATCATCAGGAAAATGAACCGTAACGCAACGAGGTGTGGTATGTGGTATGTACTACTCCTAGTACAACAAACCACATTGCGGCAAAAAGGACTTCAGACACTTAAAGAGCGAGCCACAGAGAAAGAGAGAGAAAACGGACACATATACAGAACAGGTCAGGTAGAAGCGGACACCGAAGGACAAACGAAAAATGGGCCAAAAACTACCCCAGAACTACACAACCAACAAAAGCACGAGCAGCAGCAGCAGCAGCAGCAGCAGCAGCAGCGGTGCACTCACCATCTCGTAGTGGTTGTCCAGCTCGAAGCAGAACTGCCCCTGTTTCGTCTCCGCCCACCACAGCTTCGTGTTGCTCCTCAAGGGTTTCTTCGACAGTTTCTCCTTCTCGTTTTTGATGAGAGTGTCGAGGGCGTTCACCCACTGGAGAAGCGGGGCGCGCGATCCAAGATTTCCAGTGATGGGAGGATTTCCAGACAGGAGGGCGGGAGTATTTACAAAAACAAGCGGCGGCGGCGGGGGCGGTTTTTATTTAGACCTTTTAGGCAAAAAAAAAAGGAAAAAAAAAGGAAAACGGCTAACAATAACCTCGCTCACAACGGGTCCGTTTGACGCAAAAGGAGCGAGGCGTTTTGACATGGTTGTGGCCGCGGTCGGGGCTCTGACAGAAGAGTGGAGAGAGTGAGGAGTTTCAAATCTTCCGTTTCGCAACTCAGCACACGCTCGACACCAGCAGTGCGTACGGCTGAGGAAACTTGACACCATTACTACCGAGGCGACGCGCGCCCGGCGGGGCAACAATGTGATCGTCCTCCCAACTGATGTGAGCAGCCAGTCGCAGGCCCAAACACTAAATCACGAAATAAACTCCCACGATACCAACACCGGGAAGACGGTATGGTCCATAGCTGGCTATGGCCACCTGGACAATACTTGGTTGGTGGTAAATCTGCCCCTTGGGAAGGATGATTGTTTCGATGATGGGTGCTTCAAAGCGCTCGAGACAGGGAAGGTGAAGCGCAGCACACGCCGAGAAACAAGAGGTGGAAACAAAAAACACAAGGCTTCGAAGTCAAGTCAACACGAACGAGAGCCGACAAGAACAAAAGACGTCAAGTCAGTCCAACTCAACGCCAAGCTGAGCCGACAAAAAAAAAAAAAATCGCCCCACCTCCATCTCCTCCTGCTCGCCCGACGCCCGAAGCTTGGTGACCCTCCCGGGCGCCGTCAAAACGAATCCGTCGCCCGCTTTCGCCGCTCTCTGGACCGACCACCCGGATCCCACCGTCATAACGCGCTTCGGCTCATTATCGCCCTTCTTCTTGTACTGACTCAAGGTCGTTCCCTGTGAGGTGGTCAGGGGGGTTGGGTGGGCGGTAAAGACGATGGCCAAAAGAGTGGAGTGTGGTGCAACGAGCGCGGGGCACACACGGATCGTAGAATACATGCAGGGTATGTATATGCTTAGTATATACCATACCTGAAATATGTTTCTCATTTTTTCGTCCCGGCGAGGACAGAGAGGAAAAGCACCAAGACAAGGGAAGGTACTGGGGGTAGGCAGCCTCGCGTCGCAAAGCAGCTTTAGTGGCTTTTAACACTCGTGGTACTGGAAGCCCACATGGGGACACTTTGGGGACACAGCACTTGAATGCGTATGTAGTCACCCTAGGCTCCGCTGTGTGCAACGCACGTGAGAACCCTTGGTCTATCATGCTTGGCTCAGGTGGGACGCTGTGTCATATGCCGTGTGATGCCTCTCCTGGGCCTCTGACTTGCTGCACACATCTCCCAACCCGCGTGCCCCCTAGGTCGTAAAACTGTACATCGCCTTGGTACTGGAAAAATTTGCTGACTTGGCTTCAGTATGAAAAGTGTCCCCACGTGTTTTGGGGGCACTTTTCATACTGAAGCCAAGTCACCCTTTGCCTGGCAAGGAGCTCCGATTCGTTGGAGGGACTGTAGCCCCTCGCCCAATGGCTGACAAACAAAATTGCGACAATTTTTTTTTTTGCGGAGGGACTGGGTACTAGGAGGGTTAAGCCTGCAGCGGAACTCGGCAAACTGACAAGACACGTACACGAAGCCGTGGCTCTGGGGCGGGATTTGCAAGACGCCGCCATCATCCGTGCCTGCTGTGGGTACTTCTTTCTCATCGCCAGCTAAAGTCGAGCCCGACACCAAGAGCCACACTCGTGCCCACTCTTGGTGTGCCGTGTGTTTCTCTTACGGCGACAGCCAAGTCAGAGACCGTCAACCACACACGTTTCGTGCCCGATTTTTGTGTGTTTCCTTTATCATCGCCAGCAACAAAAGGCTAAAGTCAGCAGCGAGTGACCACACAACTTCAAGACTCGCGCGCTCGTGAACAACAGCAACGGCGGTTGCACTGTTTGCCGCCTACAGGGGTCGCGCTATTCCTTGCACCATCTCGGCAAGAACACACACGCTTGAGGCACAAGAGAGAGAGAGAATCAATGCCGCGCGGAAAGCAACCCAATGTTGCCCTTCTCTTCTAGTCTATCCGCTTAGCCGGCTCGAAAACGCGTCGACGCCACGCGTCTCCGCGCAGCTGCAACGACCATAGGTGGCTCTCTAGTGTGTCGGGGGGGGGGGGGTATGTCGCCTAGAAGCGATTTCAAGGTGAGAAGCGAGGGTAATGGTCCTTCGAGAAAGAGAGAAAGACTGCTTGCTCGTGGATTAATTCACTCATCATGGGCGATTCGTCAAAACGCTGACTTGACACGGGAGTCGAGCGTGTACCACACGATTTGTCTCCTCGTGACCTCAGCAGAACGACGTCGCCACTTCCAAGGGTGGAGGACGAGCATATCGCAACGCCTCGCACGAGGCTACATTTCTCCTTCCTCGATACAAAACCTCGTGCACCTGGCCCCACCAGGCATGCGCTTCACACACCCGTATCATGCGTTCGTGCTTTTTTCCCCCTGGATGTGTGTGTGTGCGTGCACACATCACCCCGCTTGCCAAGAGCTTGAGGATCGGTAAAAAACGTAACAAAGAAAAACGTGTGGTACACTTCTGTACACATACCGCTGACACTTACACGGTACTTCCTTCGGGCGCTTTAGTAAAAAATTTCGCGCGCGTTGCGGGAGACAAAATGCCATATTCTTGATTCCTTTTCGCACGCAAAAAAACGTTTCGCCGGATCATCCCCCACAAAATACATGAAAAAAACGCCCGACTTTCTCGGTACTCCGGGGCGGGGATATTCGCTTTCTTCCACCCGCCGCCGTCCGTGGATTCCGCCAGTTAAGGGCCAGGACAAAAGACCCTCGAAACACATCTCACATCTCACGGGACACAACTCTAGGTTTTGTCCTTGAGGGCGTCATGCGAATTTCTTCAAGCGCCTCGAGAGTGAATCTCGATTTCGAGACGCGTAAAAAACCATGGAATCAACCCGTACGTAGTGCTGTTACACGGCACGGGTTTTGTACCCCGTGGGTGGGTGGGTGGGGGTACTCATAGTGGTGTATGCCGTAGTCGTTAGACCATTGACCTCGCATCCCTACAAAGCCGCGGCGGAGCACGCCAGGTTCTCACCGGACCAGGCTCTCACATCACCAAGCGCGAAGCGCCGTGAGGTATTCGGCGAGTCGCATGAAGGGTGCGCTGCATCCTGCTAAGGGTGTTCGGCATCTTGTGGTTACTTCCTTGCGTACGGATGACAGCTACGTATGACTCAATTAATTTTCTGGTGCTTTCACTTCCAGAGACAGTTATAAGCTCTGCTTAACTGCCTCGAGGGTGCTTGACCATTTTAACACAACGTGGGGCGATTATCCCTCTGGGGGGGTTGTTTTACAACGTCGTTGCCAAGCGACGAAAACCCAACCCCGATGGCAAACACCGAGGGGGGGGGGGGGAGGTCGTGAACGACGGCATCATCCGCTACGCGAACAACAGCTGCTGGTGTACCCGGTATCTGGTTCCAATAAACTTCTTTCGGGTGTACGCTCAAGTAAGGAAGCGGAGGACGCGTCGTGTCCTTCGAAATGTGGCGGTACCGGGAGGGCGGCGGGGCCGGGGAGGAGTGGCGTGTAGAGAGAGCACTTCCATCAGTCTACGAAAAAGAAAACGGAATCCTTGCTACCCTGTTGGGCGCATCCACCAATGTTATCCTTCACCTCGACGGCACAAAGCAGTAAAAACAGTATTTAGTCGCACACACTAATTCACACCACCAGCAAAGAGGAAGCCTCCATGTAGGCGTGTGCTGCACGTGAGTTTTTTCGCCATGGGTGGCAAACATTAATATTCTGCGACACCTCCAAAGAGATTCCGAGAAGTCTCCGCAAGGTACCCGGTGTGTACCAATGGTGGCTGTGTAGTGCCACACACGTCTATCATCTACGCATCAAACAAGTGCACGAGTACACCGTCTGACGCGCATCGAAATTGCAAGTGCTCCCGGGAGAACAGTTACATACGCTGCGGCTCATGCGTGCATACGACACGCTTTCCGAAGCTTTTTACCCCAGCCGCCGTCGATGTGAATTAAATTTACAGGCGAGGGCGCAACGTGCCTGCTAGCGTTGATTCCAGAGGGTAGCAGGGGATCCAGCTCGATGCATGCCTACCCCAAAGGACAACAATTTATATGTAAAAAATCTATATACCCCTAACCCCTCAATACACACCCTTTGGGGGCACTAGATAGCTCTGTTCAGTGACCCCGAAGAAGGTCATATCCCTTCTCCGCCTTTTCGTTTCCGTTTTGCAGCCATATCTACACAACCGAACTAAATTTTCTTGCCCGCCGCACTTGAGCAAAAGCAAAACAAAACTCTCGCGACATCGGGTGGGGGGGAGAGAGAACAACACCCATGTGACCCGAAACAAAACGACCACGAGATACATGGGGTACGGTACAGTAGTCGTTGGGTGACCAACGACTGTTTTTTTCCTTGTTTCCACGGGGGGCGGGCGGGGTGGGTGGGTGGGTGGGTGGGTGGGGGGGGCGCACACACCCGTATGCATGTACCTCTCGTTGTAGCATACACCACCTTTCATTTTATTTGTATCATCCATGCGGATCGATCGGTGATCCCACGTGTTCACAGAAGGAGAGGCGCACAGAGCACCGAGCTACATATTTGATTGCTGAGCGGTGGTTGGTCGTCTTCTCGAAAAAGGGCGACAAAAAACTGCTGTTTATTTTCTCGAGTCGAAAAAGATTACTTTATGTGTCCGTATCATGTGGATACAAGTTTTATGTTGCATTCAGGCTCTGTCAAGTGTCAAGCCGCCGGCGTTTATGCGTATATGTACGCCAGCAGTAGAGCTATTTCAGCTGTTCATGCCTAGCATGATGAGAGTACAGACAAATGACAAATGATGGATGCCCGGAAAAGAGATTCTTCCAATGTACCTTCTCCTGCACGGCAAAGTTGTGCCGTGTACACTGCGGCACCGCCTCCCCCGGGACAAAGACATCCAACGAAGTTGCAAAATGATGTACGTTTGTAGGGGCAGCGTTGTCGCAAACGGGGGGAGTGTCTCTCTCTCTCTCTCTCTCTCTCTCTCTTTTCTCTTGGTGACCCACCCAGAGCTACGAGTTATGTTCACCGCCGTACCTCTACGAGAAACATGCACACGCAGCAGCAGCAGCAGCAGCAGCAAATACGTGTATGCATGCGTACAAAAACAGCAGTAGCCTCTTCTCTGCCCCCTGTCCGCCGGATATATTGAAGAAGGGAGGAGGGCGCACGTAGGCGGAGGAGCGTGTGTGTTCCACGTTAACCCGTGCCTGCGAGAACATCTTCTCTTGCGGCAACGAGTGACTTGGGAAGCTCGTCCAAACAAGCACATGTAGATACCCGCCCGTTTTGTGTACCAAATCTGATCGTGAGTGTGTGCCTGAACAACTGCACCTTCTTAAAGTAAACACCGCTGTGTGCAGCAAACAAAACCTGTGAGTGCAAATCCCTCAACATGTGATCGCGAAAAAAATTGTACATACATGCATAGTTCGGAGCTTTACTAATTGGCCTACAGTATATGTATCAACGCAAGGAATCTCGTGCCACTATAGCTGGAAGGGTTGTTGCTTACAACACCTGCTACTGCGATATCTACAATATATATGGGCGGTGGGTGTAGGGACTTCTTCCTTGCGTGCTTGTTTTTTCCAACCCAACCAAAAGAGGCATCGAACACACACACACATACAGAAGATTCTATATAACAAACCACAGAAGAGAAAGAGGAGAGGAAACTCCCTTCTCATCCTATTCATCGAATCAACGGGCTCGCTTCGCGCGTTCGACCTAAACCTAGACGGCTGCAGGAGTGAAGGCGGACCAACCCCTCTCGCTGTCTAGGCGGGGGCGGGGAGTGAGGGAGGCCACACACCGATCGCCTATATGAATGTTCCTCCCGGCAGAACTGCTGCTGTGGCAAAACAAGACACGCTGGTTTTGACCATGTGTGTGCTGCGGACGGGAAAATAACCCTACTGACATTGACAAAAACGAACAAGAGCACAACCCCCAGGAGGGGGCCAAAGCTCGAGGGGGCATGTGCTTCACCTTTACACCCGTACGCGTGGTAGCGTGTGTACAGGGCTCTATTTGCTAGATGGTAGATGGCCTGGTCTCTCACCTTGAGCACAAAGTATCTCTCCTTCCAAAGAACCAGGCATTTCTTGTGCAAGCACCCGTAAACGAACACCATGGTGCTCCGGAAATCGTGGTCTGCACGGCGGTGCTCGCCCTTCCCTCGACGATGATGGTGGTGACGGCTCTCCTCCTCCTCCTCCTCCGATACCCAGCTCCCCCGTTATTGTCGCGCGTCGTCTCCCCGCTCCCTCTCCTATTCTGTCCCCCCCCCCCGCGGCCCAGGCGGGTGTCCAGGGCGCTTCTGCCGCCGAAAATGGTGAAATGACCCGACCCTCCGAATGAATGATTGCTCTCGCAGGAGTCGGAGAAGTAGGTGTGTGCCACTTTTCCTCCGGCAAGCGAGTGCGGCTACAGCGGCTGCAGCACCCCCCTCTTCTCCCTGTCGTCTCCAGTCTTGCAGCTGTTCGAGAAGAGCACGCACTCCAATTCTCTTTTGTTGAGAGACAGCAGGCAGAGACACCCAGCAGCTTTGGAGCTGATGATGGGAGAGACAGGAGCAAGAAAATGAGGAGAAAATATGAGTATATATTTTTTTATTTTGGGATATTCCGTGGTTGGCTTGGAACACCGCAGGCGTTGTTGCCATCAGAGCCTTTTCAGTGAAACGCCACAATTATTTTATCGGCGGTGAGATTTGTTGCCCTGCTTTGCCGACGAAAAGCTCAACGACTTTTCGAAGAGCAATAAAAATACCCGGGGCGGACGACGCGTGCGTACAGAAGAGGGCAGTAGGACAAACAACGAAAGCAGCGAGTGCACCTCATTATCCCGTTTCCTGATACTGCACGCGGAATAGGCATATAGTCTAGGAGAGAGGAGGACAGAAGAGAGAAGCGGCTTTTGTTGCCGACAGGCGCAGCAAGATTCGGCGGTTGTGTGAGCTACGATCCAAATGGGTGGATTAAAGTAGCCTCCTCGAGACTGCGGCAGGAAGGAGAGCGATCCGTAGTCTCGCAACTACGGTCGGTGCTGGGATTATTCAGAACATTATCCCGAAATCACGGCTTGTGGTGCATGCACTTCAGTACATATCCCACCGGCATACATACACTTCGTGCCATTCATGATGGCGAGGCGCCTACACGCATACCACTCGAAGAACGGCGAGGACAGCATGGAAGCTCTGTCCGCCAAGCTCAGCGCAGATCTTAGAGGCAACATTCGGGCGCTGGTGAGATTGTACTGGATCTTACGCATATGCATGATGAGCTGTTGAACCAAGAATGAGTAAATACAATACTGTACAATATTAGTACTTACACTTGTACGGCGCGAGAATACAGCTGTAGTCTAGCCTACAGGTACGTACATGTGGTCTTGCTGTGCAGTGCTTGTTTGAAGCACTCAAGCCAATAATCAAACTTGGCGTCTTACGTACGGTATGTTGTTTTATGTAGTCACATTGCACTCCGACTGTTGTGGCAAGAAAGGTCCAACGCACACGAACAGATACGTATTTCAGATTTGATGTATGTATCGAGAGTTCAATATCTGATTGGCTGCTACGCGACCCCATATGATATCACCAATCAAGCCTAACACCTGTTGTCGACTTCACTACTGCTGTATCCACCGCTTCGCGTTCACGACAGGGGGCGTTTCCTCTGCTCTCTGATGAGTGGTGTAAAATGGCGACCGCTCTAGGCAGGATAGCTGAAATATCGGAGGCGGAGGTGGGTGGGAGCTTTCGATGCAGCGAGGCGCGCACGATCTTCGTCAGAGCATGCTGCAGAACGTGCGCCGCACGTAAATGTTTGTGTTGATGATAGACGACTGTTTCTGCACGTGTCCCTCGCCCAAACCAATCTGTTTCAAGTGTTTTCACTACTGTAAGTTCCTTCTGTCCGATGCCACCATGCTTCTTTTGTTTCACCCGAAACGGAACGAACGACACTCCAGTTTTAGAGGTGTCTGGTGAGCGCTCGGTTCGAAGGCTAACGTTGAGAGCGTGTTTTCCTGTGGTTGGAACGTTTGTAGACGCTGCAGCAGTGCTACAAGCCCGAGAGACAAACTCGCCACGTGCTGATCCTTCCAGCAGGTTGTAAAATATATGAACAGAACACCAAAGGTTGTTGTCGGACCATTAGACTAAATGCTACGGGACACGTCGCGCATGCACCCGGGCAGTCAGTTTTACCTTCGGATACGAGGCATTATGCTATCAATATTCACACCTGTGCTTTCTCGCGAACCAACGCCATCGATGCCTGCCAGGCAAAACTAACTCAAGACTGCATTGAGGGAGAACGGAAGGAAGGAGAAAGAAATGACTGTCCAAAGACGCTATGGGAAGGCGAAGTAAGGACTGTAGTTACAGCAGACATGAGTGTCAGTAGTTCTGCTATAGTCCGACGAGGTGACACTCCCCTCGTCAGTAAATGCATGCTGTTGTCAGGCAAACTTGCGATACACAGGCATACACGATACGGGGCGCACCACCTCACCGCTGATCACAGCAGTGTCCAAAATCGGTGCTCTGCATGTGTGGTGTGGCTTCACGTAGAAAGCCCGACCGACCGCGTGCACGCCCTCGCGTCCCCAAAATCTTCTGGCAAAACCGTTGTCGTTGGTGTGCCTGTTGGTTGTTTCAGGAGATGGCCTTACGCTACGTCCTGGAGGACGGGAAGCTCAACGTGTGTCTTCGGAACCTGTCTGAGTGGAGAAAATTCCATCGAAATAGGCGTGACGGGGGGGGGCAGGCGGGCGAGGACGGACCGTTGGTAAGAACACGCCCATCGGGTGGTTTGTGGTGTATCTCATTGTGTGTCACCTTTTGCTAGGGAGAAAACATCCCAGGAACCAGTGTAGTTTCATGCATGTAAGTACGCATGACGGGAACGAGAGATGTGCAACACTTCATCGAGGGTACTACATCAGCATGTTTCGTTTTTTGGATACCTCTTCACTTCACACACACACACACATGTGCACGTCCCAAAAACAATGTGACCGTTGTGCCGCTAGGCTTGAGGACCTTGTCGCGAGCTCTGTTTGTAAAAAAGAAGCGGTTTGTGAAGTACTGTAGTGTGGCGCCGAATATCTCGCACGACAGACGACCACCCGTTTGTCTAAAACTGGATTTTGGAATGTCGCCGATGGCAATATTCAGTTCTTTTTATCCATGTCTCGTCTCTGACTCGACCTCCGGTGAAAAAAGGTGCTCGAAAGTTTGAACTCTTTCGAGAAGGGCATGGGGACCGTTCTTCGGAACGCATGGACCCACGTCGAGGCCCTCCAGACCACGGACATCCCATTGCTTGTGGAGTACGTTACCGGGGTAAGGAAAATATGAAGACACACCCGAGTTATATCCCGAGACTTTTCGTTCATACGTGCTTTGGTCAGTACAGCTTCAGTTGGTCAGTTGCGATGTTTAGCGCTAAGCGACGCATACGTCAACGTTTCGGCCACCACCCCCTTGGCATAAAAACACGGTGGTATAAAAACACGGACCGCAGGTGTATAGGGACGCAGCAGACAACCCCGATGCTGTCGAGGACATGAGCTTGAGAGGAGACTTGGCGGGACGTCAGGAGGTAACCGAACGTAGTCTTGTGTGCGCGCAATAACAGTTGTATTTAGCTATCAGATTCAGAACATCCATCTGTTACGGTTCTATTTAAAGCCACCCTATCTGGTAGGCATTGTTATCAATCTCTGTAGATACATGTCGACCCTTTTCTACATTGAATTATTCGTTCTGGACCAATGACAAAGAAGTCAAAAGTAAGGGGCTCACAGAGCGCTCACAAGTTTCGGCGGAATTCTTCGCGCCAATGCACGCCTGTTGTGCTTGACATGATTTGTTGGCTGTCGCGCGTTGAAAACGCAGTCACGATATTCAAATGTCTCGTCGCTTTAGGGAGTGAGTTTGAACGTGTCAGAGAGGAAGACGCACCTGCGGCGACTTTGAATCTGGTTACCGGTCTGCTACTGCCCCTTGTGGCGTCTGTTGACGATTACAAATTAGCGACTACCGAGGACCGACCACCTCCTTTAGCGACGAGACCACCCCATGAGATAACCCTTCGCTGGGGAGGGTTACACCGCAGCTCTGCCCCCGTTCGGAACAAATAGCTTGTTTTTCTCCGCTCGATGCACATTTCTTGGGCGCGTAGATAGTGTGCCTCAGCTACTTGCGAGGGCTGGTCTCGCGCCTGAGCGACCACGAGGAGGGCCGGGTCATGCCACACCTCAGGGGAGCCGGAACCGTTTCCTGCCTGGCGGCAATGCTGCACGCCAACCACCGGCACCTCGGTATGGAAGCCGCGGCGGTAGGGGCGGAGGCTCTGGCGTTCGTGTGCGGCACCGAGGACTTCATCACGTACCGGGTGAGGGGGGCGGGTGGGAAAGGAAGGGGGGGCGGGGGGGGTCAGGTACGGGAAAGGAAGCCGCCGCCCGTGCGAGGCCCCTAGAGATCATGTTATTTTTTGCGGCAGGGCTGATTGGGTTAGCAGGAACGGAGTGGGGTGAGGGCAGCGTGCGCTGATTTTCAATTGACGAGGTAGTTTAGCAGGAACACGAGGATGAGGAGGAGCGCATGCGTCAACCGTTGAAAGGAGGACTTGTGTTGGATAACTGACTTATGAATGCTTGAGCTATTTACTTCGTGACAAAGTCTTACGAGAGAACGCGACAGAAGCTCTACCTGATGGTAGAACGGTGTTCTTCTTCCTATGGTTGTCCTGACTTCAACTCAAAGATAGAAGCCAAGCGCACGGCTCCTTGCATTATTGGTCGTACCCCCCCCCGAAAGAAAAGAAGCTCGAGATACCGCTGAGCTTGTCTCACCCTGGGGAACGCTTAATATCAAACCACCTGTACCTGCTTGCTCAGCTCTTCCGATTAACCCGCCCCGTATTCTCCCCCCGACGTCAAGTAACACATGCCGTCCTCCCACTGGAGGCGCGAGCGGGGAGGGTTCTCTGCCATGTATGTTGCGCACACAGACAGGCCACAACGATGTATCACCGTGCCCAACGAGACGTATTACAAAGCCTCCATTTTGCACCGGCAGTGGTTGCAATGAAAGCCCATTTAACCTAAACTGCTGTGCCTTGTCGTGCGCCACGTGCTCTCGCGTCCCGCCACGGAGACAGGAAGAGTATATCGACGAGGCGACGAGGGTCACGTTCGCGAGTCTCAAGGAAGATTTCGTTGAGAAGCTGTGCGAAGATTCCCAAGAGCGGAAAATACTCAGGTTTGACCCCCCGTCGTTAAGCTTGGGCCGGGGAGATGGAGCGCCGGGAGTGGCGGGGAGCGCGGGCGGGGGCGTTCTCTTTGCTGTTTCTTTCTAACGCTGTAGTTTGGCAACGGTCGGGTGCCTTGCCTGCTTGGAACATGGTCGTTGCACGATGCAAAATTTCTTACTACGCTGACAAACCTGAAAAGGAAACACTAAAAAGGGTGACGCAAACAACACTAGTTGAGTTCAATAAGAAATGAAGTGGATCTGGCAGGCAAGTGATCCATACAGCCTGCTGGTCTACATTTCTCCTAACCTGCGAGTCGAGCGAACGAAGTCGACCTTAGTTGTATGAACCATGGAGAGGCAAACATCAGACCCCTCACTGCACCCAACACACGGGCTTCTTATCACTCTAGTGACACAGCTGTTGCTGCACACCTTTGCCCCCGCCCCAACCTTCCGAACAACTAACTGTTGATCTTCAGGCCCCTGCTGGACGCAATTTCCTACTGTCGCCGCAAGAGCTCGCGAAAATGATTGAAGTTTCAACCTCTCTGCCGGCAAGGTTTCCTTCCTCGAGGCTCGGGTGAAGGGGCGACAACAAAAGCAAAGCGGCTGTAGCGTTTGACATGAGCTTGGCCGTTGGTTGACGACGACTTTTGACCTTTCCCGAAGCAGGAGGCCTCTCAACGGGAATTGTAGACTTGACCCTTGGAGGAAGGGAGATATGGTGGGCGAGGCGAGGCGGGGTCGGGCAGGTGCAGGACGGGGGACGGAACGGAGGGAAATTATGCCACGTATCCGGGTATTGAAGGGAACGCCTGTGGTATGGCTTGACAACTCTCCCACCGCCTAACCAGCCCCCAACAAGCTCCCGCGAACAGCACGACTGGTGTGCGGCACGCGGCCAGCTTGTTCTCGGAACGTGTTGGCACCAACCTTCCACAAGTGCGGCGCTTTGCGCGTTACCTATGGTTGCGACACCGCGCGCAGTCTACACGGTGATCCTCTAGCGACAGTTAACGGTATAGGTTGCCGGTTATCTGGGCGACGGAGCCCAGTGAAGTGTTCTGGTCGTTTTCCCGGTTGCTTCGGTAGCAGACATCTTGCGGGGAGGAGAGTTGTGGGTTGTTCCGTATGTGTAGTGTTGATGATTTTTATGTAGGCGATTTCTCCCTGTTCCTGGGAGTTGGTCCTGAACCTCGTCGTGTATCTGCCGTGAGCGCCATGTGCCCCGAAACTCGCGCACGTATAAAAGCACGGCGTGTTTGGGTACGTGCGCAAGTAGGGTACATGAATCACGCGCGTGGCAAGGACAGAGAGCCTTGTCCATGCAGATAGCGCCCGCCGGCACGACCAACGGCGTACGTAGGATCGCGTTGTTTGGGCGACACCAACGGAACGCGACCGAAAAGCACCCAACCCCTTTCTCACGCCGCCCCAAGACGGGGAAACGAAATCACCGCGGTCTACATAGCTATTCGGTCGATCCGTCGAGCGCGCTCGGACGGAAGGTACTTTGCATTTTAATGTAACCATCGCCGGGGCGTCGAGGTTTGGTCCCTCGTGCGGTATCCACCACGCGAAGCCATTAACTGCCGTACGCTATGAAAGCAGCGTCATGCTGACGCCAATTGCCCTTGCAGGCGGTGCTCATTCTGCTCGCCGAATTGTAGGCCACTGAGATTCGGCGAACAACGATATTTCAAGCTCGGATTTTGGGGGGAAACGGAACGCCCTCTAACGGAGGGTGGGCTGTATCAATCCCGCTGCACCCATCAATTACAGCACAATCGCCACCCAGCAGGTTGCATCACACTTGCCCCCTCCCTCCCCCCCTGCACACCAAACCTACTGCGGCCCTCCCGCCGCCGCCACATCGATGCCAACCCCATCCCCAGCTTCTCGGAAAGACGTGTCAGCTAAAAAGAGGCCGTCCTCCCATACGGCCTCAGCCGCGCCACTTCCCAGCCCGCTCTCGTCTGTTCCAACCCCGCGAGTCGCAAGCACGTCTCCACCAACTGTTGCCGCCGGCATCGGGCCGGGTGCTACTGCAGCGGGCTCAGAAGCGGCACGACTTTCTTCGCCGTTCACGCTGCTGGCGCCGCTGGCGCCGCCGCCGGCATGGCCGCTGCCCCCGTCTGTCACTGCCGTGGCGGCGGTACTGGCAGGATCGTCCGTTTTCCTCTTCTTGTCCGACCCACCGCTGCTGACCTCCGGCGTAGGGCTCGTGCTCGGGCCACCGTTTCCGTCCCGCCCGCCGCTACTTCTTTCGCAGCCCGCCCCCCCGTTGGCGCCACCCGCGTCGTCGCCGCCGTCGTTGCCGCGCTTGCGGCCGCTGAGCCTCGCCATGGAGTCGGGAGGGGGCCGGAACGTCGTCGGGATCTTTTTCTTGGTGCGGTCGGGCTGGTTGCACAGCCGCTTTCTCAGGTACAGCTCTACCTCCCAGAACACCGGGGAGGGGAGGGCCTCCACCTTCACCACGAAGTACCCTTCCTCGTCGTCCTTAACAGCAGTGCACAACCGGTTCGTCGTTTTATCGTTCCGAAAAGAGGGATTCAGATGTGAAACAGAAGCGATGAAAGGCAGACGCAGACATTAAAATACCAGGAAGGCGATGACAAGGGCGGGGGGGGCGTTTGTTTACGGCTATCAACACATATCTAGACCGCATTGGGTGTTCTTTGGGAAGATGGCCACGGACGTCGCGAAAGGGTTCATACTTCCGCGTTCCTGGACGGAACGGGTTCTTGCCGGACTGACACAAGAGCCTTCCCTGAATGTGTTGCCACTATTTTGAAAAAATGAAAACTTTATGCACGTTCTTCAACAGGTACTTGCTCCGTAGAAGAACCAATTGACACACGTAGCCAAAGTCGCACACGGTGCACTACAATAGCATCATTGGGTCGAAAGGGTTCGTAGAGGTTCGGTCCGCGGGGGGTGCCGTGGAACCCGAACGATGTTGCTGTACGCAATCTCGTTCCTCCCATCGCGGTTCACTTCACGACACGTAAAGGCTCTCATACGCCACCGCCCACGTCTTGCTCTCTGCCACCCCACCCCATGCTTGGCCCACTTCCCTCTGCCTTTTGTCACAGTTGACTACCGTGCTCCTGCTTACCCTGACAACCGCCTCGGGACATCTCTGCTCCAGAAGCTGAACGGCCTCCTCAAGCTGCGAGTCTTCCACTCGGTAGATGTCCCTGCTCAGCTTGTTGCGCTCATCCACGTTCGGCTCGCGCGCGTAGTTGAAATCTGACACCGCACCACAAGCGGGACGGAGGTGAAACCGAGGGGGGTAGGGAGGTACAAGCAGAGCTGCAATCTCATGTGCCATGTCGAGATGCCGACACAAAATCAAGTGAAAGGCATAGGCGGCGCCGGCGTGCGGAACACGCGCCGTCCTTGCACCTGAAACCTAACCTTCGCTAGCATTCGGCCGAATGCAACAGGCCGTCGACGTTCGGGACCCCCAAGACCGGGGGAATCGAAAAAAAGCGCCGGGGGGGTCGAAAGCAAGCCGCGTGCGAAAGCCCAGCATTTCGGGGCAACAAGCTCTCACCGGCGGGGTTGATTTTGTTGTACATCCCCTCGAACACCTTAGATAGCGCGCGGGCGCCCTGGGCCACGACGCTTTTCGCCTGGAGAGACGAGGCATGAGGGACGGGCACACGGACCGGCGTCAGGGGGAAGGGCGAAGAGAAGGAGAGGGCGCGAGGCACTCGTTATATTCGGAGACAGACGAAATGGGCAAAAACAGAAAAATTGATATCAAGGAAACAAAAAAAGACACGTGCAAAACACGTTGAAGAAAGAAAAAATAAGACTAGAAGCAAAGAGCCACGCAAGAATATATAGATCTGTGCACCGTACTGCAGGAGGACAGGAGACGACAATAAGTACTTGTACATAAAGTGGCAGCAACGGGTCGGGCCCTAGTGAACAGAGGAGGGGAAGAACGACGACACTCACCGGGTTGTACAGGTAAGCGTTCGTCCAGACCGTTCTCACGTCCTTCGCGCAAGCTTCGAGGGAAGGGTAAACGTTCTGCCGGATGTTCTCCTGGCAGGCGGGCACGGCAACAAGATGACCGAATCACCAAACGAAACACATGCCAAAACGCACACATGCTGAATCCAAGCACTGAAAAAGAGAGATCGATCGAGTCGGCAAAAGTGGCAGTCGTGCCTTGCGGTGGCTGATGTACCGGTGGGACTGCGGGTCATCGCACATCCACTACGCCGAGGGCAATTGATCGACCCCTCCACAACGCCCTAGGTGCTGATTCCGATACAGGCGGCTCTAGAAAGATCCAGAGCTCCCCTGACCCGCATCCATCCGCTTTTCACAGCAGCCTTCTGCGGCAGGTGTGGAGCAGTCGACACTCGATAGTCGGTCTCGGGGTGTGTGGTGCGATGTTCCATAGTTTTCCGGTATTGGGGGTGTTAGGGCTTGCAAAACACTGGAGGTGCAACTATGTTGGGACAGCTTGCGCCCACGAACTGCGTTTCAGTCCTTAAGCGTACGCAAGAGCAGGTGCGGGGTTCAGTAGAGACCAGAGCGATGAAAAGTCTCAAAACCACAACGATAGGCATTACTGTACTTCGCACACCTTGACCTCCCCGCCGTACTGAACGGCCCAGCATCTAGGAAATATTCAGCTACGAGAGCAAGGCTCAATAGGGCTAGGACTGGGAAACGCAGCTCAACGGCATGTCCAACACTAAACCTACTCCCAATGCATCAAGCTCCTGTTCTCGACGATGCGGTGGCGGCGAAATAAGAAGCTGAGTCGTCTCGATCAAAATTTGACGTTTCTGAACTGCCGGCCCGTTCTGTATGATGTGGCAACAATCGCTACAACGTCCCCTCCGTTTCATCGAGCTCGCTTGTTTTCTCGAAGAGTACGGAACACGAGGTGGTGGATGGAGGGCAGAATGTTTTCAAACTTGCGATACAACCAAGAAAAAGAATGTTGGTTGGAAACATGGATGGGGTCCGTTGTAACTATCAGTACCTCTTGCTTGTATGGAGCAGCTGAGTCCATCGACCAAACGCAACCGGCGAAAGGCGATGGCAAACGGTGCGTGGAACACCCGTATTGCACCCCCATGGAAAACAGGGCATTATTGCATTCCATACCGACGAGAATGGTAGTAAGTTGACCCCTTTACCCTCAGGTTTTCGTGTAAAATTTCTACACCTCTCGTTGAAGGGATGATCCAAAATTCTATTGTTGCGCAAGGTATCGCCGTCGGTGGTGCTTGACCTACACTGCCCCCGACCGCTAGCTATTTTACCTAGATGGCGACAGCACCCGGTAAGTCTGCCATGGGCTTCGTGAGGGAGGAAACTGTTGGAGGCTACAAAGTCGAGTTCGATAGTTGTTCCGTACTATTCGCGCCGCCGCTGACTACTGGCGTTTGGAGAGAGTTTGTGTCGACTTCTAGGTGAAATTTGTAGGCCCATGACGAGCAATGTGATGGTGATCCAAAATTTTTCCGGCCGATGACACCGAGCTCTGTGAAGGTTGTTCTTCTGCTGCTGTGAGCCGAATTCTGTACAGTCGCTTCTGTTCCGAGGGCGACGAAAGCTGGCTCTCAAAAGAGCTGAAAAGAGAGGGAAGGTTGCAACGGCAACCGGTTGGGATTGATGGCGCAGAATAGGCCTTTGTGTTTTTAGTGGCATAATCACACGGCGTAAATCTGCTTGCGGGCGTAGGCTTAAATTGTCTTGACGTCCGCCGACAGTTCCGTGGCAAGCTGCACTCTGTGGCCAGGAGTTTGTCAGCGGCGGTTGACAAAGGGATCACCTTCCACGGGCTGAGCAATACAAACCTACAAGGATTCGGGAGGATATTACCATTGGGTACCTGTCCTCGAAGTCGGCATTCACCAAAAACCCTCGGGGTCCACATATTGTAAGACGAGTGGGAAAAGGGATGTGCACGTCATAAGACGTACCTGAATAGTTCCGAGATCCATGGGGGTCGAGACGATCTGATGATAGTCGGGATACTCTGACGCCATCACGGGATGGTTGAAAATGGCTGCGGGAGGAAACGAGAGGACGCGTGACGCGTGTGGTGTATGTAGAGTCAAACGATTACGGCGGGGGGGGGGGGGGGGGGGGGGG